ATTCATTAGTTGATTAGCGTAGGTGCTTTGCGAAGTGCTTAGGTTGATTAGACCACCGCTTATGCGCTTGCTCTAGGTTTAGGTCTAGTGTTTAGTGAGGTTTGCATACCTCTTATCACTTGGTGCTTACGCACACCATTGTTGTACATCAGAGGGGCTTATAGTCTTGTGAGATCACACCAACCGTGTTTGTGGTGTGGCTGCCACCGTGTACCGGAGGGAACAAGGCCCGCGACGGTTTGGCCGGGAGCTTGATAGTGAAGACGGTGGGGAGCGGTCCGGGAGAGGCTTACCGGAAGGCACACTAGAGACCCACTTGCTCGTGGGGAAGGTCCGAGGCTATCCACAGAGTTACCCGACCGAGAGCTTGGCCCTTGCGAGGGGCTCCAACGAGGACTAGAGGGAAGCTTACGCGCTTTTGTACCTCGGTAAAAATACCGGAGTCGTCGACGGGAGTTTGCATATCTTTACCTTACTCTTTAGATTCCGTATTTACATAGTTTGCATAACTCCTTTTGCGGTAGAGATAGCAACTCACTGGTAAAACTGTAGTTGCACATTTAGATAGATTATCTTTTGCATAGGTTTTGCTAAGGATAGAAAAAGAGGCCATAGTTTAGAATTAGAGTTTTTAAGTTGCCTAATTCACCCCCCTCTTAGGCGTCACAGTTCCCTTTCACCTCTTCATGATGTGCTCTACCTAGGAAAAATATCAGTTGAGCATTTTCAGTAGTTTCGGTATGCTTAAAAATTACCTCTTTTAATTATAAAATAAAAATATTAATCCTGTAATGCTAAATTTTTTGTGTAAATGTTATGTGCTAATACTTGGCTTCGCAAAAAGTTCGGTACTGTTTTGATAATTCTAAATAGGTCAATTAATTTAGGGACAATTGGCCACAGGACATGCCAAATGAGCACCGACGGCTGGTGGACACCGCAAATGCGTCAATTTGCTGCTGGCCACTGTGTTTCCACTTTGAGTTGCCAGAAGACACCGCACCCCGGTTTGAGCCAAGAGAGGAGAGAGAAATATTCATTTTGGACATGTGGTGCCCTCGAGCCAAAACGGCAACCCGGTCTGGTTCGACCACATTTAACCGGCCCGACCCGGCAGTTAGAGTATCGACGCCCTCCCGCCTTCCCTCTCTTCCCCATTCCCTTCTCGCCCGCCGCCGCCGTTCACTCCATTGTTCGTCGCCGCGCCACCGTCCAATCCATTGAGCCCCGCCGCTTATACCTCGAGCCGAAGGCGTCATCCGCCATGTGGAGTTGAGGAGGATGTCGTCCCCCATCAGGAACCCGAAGATGCCGCCCCAACCTGGAAGACCGCGCAGTGCCCTGGGTCTCTGCCTAGGGTTTCTCAATTGAAATGGCTTCAAAAAGGGTATGATATCTATCTTCTCTGCTTGTCGATCGATTTGTTTGCCTACGGATGCGTTAGAAACGTGGCAGATTTAGATTAGAGTTGATTTTGGTTTCACTTTGTTTTGATTTAGCATGGATCCAAGCTCAGCGTGTAGATTGGCGATTAGAGTTCCTGCTTATGTAGAGCAAAGACTGGATGGGCTCGGTGACTATCATGTTACTCAAAGTTACATGCGTGTGGTGGATAAGGATATTTTCAACTGGATGGGTTTTCGTCAGCTGCTCGGTGAGGAGATAGTTCATGGTCAGGATCAAGACCTCCATGTCTCCTTCTTTGACACAACCAAGAATGAGGCGGTCCACATAAATTCGATAGTGCTTGCTCTTTGCATGCATTTGATGTTTATTGGGATAGTAGGGAAGCGCCACTAGCTGTAGATGTTATTGACACAACTCCTTGGAACACGGCTCGTGTTGATGCTAATCTGTTCAAACATGCTAATCCTATTGAGCATGATAATCTTGCCGATGATGAAAATGTTGAAGTTGCTATGCCTTTAGATGTGATTTACCACGATAATTTACAAGCTCCCTGCTTTGAGTGTCCTTACGGAAATCTCGAGAGCGATGATGACCTTTGTAGATGTTAATGCTCATGACCTTTGTAGAGTTTGAGGTGATGACATTGCTGACCATGATGAGAGTGATGAGAGTGCTGATGCCCAGGATGATGAGAATGATGACTGGGGAGAGAAGGATGAGGTTGAGTATGTAGGAGTGGATGATGAGAAAGAGAAGTACCATGATGAGCTCAATGATGATGGTCAAGAGGATTGTTCTTACTATCCTAACACTGACCCAGAGGATGATGATCCACTAGAGGTGGATGATGAGAGGGGCTGTGAGAGTGTGCTGCATGTCACTGACGTAGATAACCCTAAAATAGCAGTTGGTGTTACTTTTGAAGATGGTTTATGTTTTAAGAGGTGTATTAGGCAATATGTTGTGCTTAATGAAGTTGAACTTGCAGTTCCTTATAGTGAGTCAAGGCGGTACCGAGCTTACTGTAAGGCAAAGAGGTGTAGGTGGAGGATTCATGCATCTCAGTTATCAGATGGGAAGACATGGCAGGTATGCACTTTTTCATTACTTGTTTATGCCATGTTTCATTGATGTAGCTGTTTCACTAACTCTATATTATTTCATTACCTTCATTCTTTGATGGTTGCAGATTAAGAAGATGCCACACAAGCACAGATGTAAAGCAAAGACGAGGAATTTGGAAAAGAATTGCATGGCTACCAATCATTGGGTGAAGGACAGAGTTATCAATTGGCTAAGGAGGACCCAACTATTCAACCTAAAGCTCTAAGGAAGCAGTTGGAGGAGAAGTACAACATCAAGGTGAGCAAGCACGTTGTTTGGGACGGCGGCAGCAAATGGCATTAGATGAGATTTTAGGTGGATGGGAGGACAACTTTGTCCATGTGTTTTCTTGGAAGAAGGAGGTTGAGAAGAGGTGTCTGGTAGTGTTGTAGAGATTGAATGGGAGCTTGTGAATGAGAAGAGAAGGTTTTGTAGGATGTTTGTAGCACTGAAGCCATGCATTGATGGCTTCCTTAATGGTTGTAGACCGTACCTAGGGATTGATTCTACAGTTTTGACAGCAAGGTGGAAGGGTCAGTTAGCTTCAGCTATAGGTGTTGATGGCCATAACTGGATGTTCCCAGTGGCCTATGGAGTCTTTGGCAGTGAGACCATGGAGAACTGGGAATGGTTCATGAAGATGCTGCACAAGGCAATTGGTTCTCCACATGGTCTGGTTATTTCAACAGATGCAGGTTAGTTTTCTTATTTCAACATATTTCAGCAGACCTTATTCTTTTCTTGTTTCCTAATGACTGACAGTGTTTTCTGGTTCTTTTCTTGTTTCCTAATGACAGGCAAAGGAATTGATAAGGCAGTTACCAAAATCTTCAGCAATGGTGTAGAACACAGAGAATGCATGAGGCATCTTGTCAAGAATTTCTAGAAGAGGTTTAGAGGAGAAGTGTTTGAGAAGAACTTGTGGCCTGCATCAAGGTGCTATAGAATGACAACACATGAGAGGCATTGGAATGAGATGCACAAAGCATGCCCAAAGGCAACTAAATGGTTGCTAGAGAACCACAAGCAGCTATGGGCAAGGGTCAAATTCAACACAACAAGCAGATGTGACTATGTCACCAACAACATTGCTGAGACATTCAATAGTTGGATCAGGGAACACAAGTCCTTACCTGTTCTAGACCTCATGGATAAGATAAGGCAGTTGATCATGGAGAGGTTCTGCACTAGGAGAAACCTGGCCTCAAAGTTGTCAGGCTTCAAGATTTTGCCTCATGTCATGAAGGTTCTGCATGAGAAAAGCAGATCCCTTAACTATAGCATACATAGGAGTGGCCCAATGGTTGGAGAAGTAGGAGGAGTGAATAAAGACCTAGTTCCTTGGAGATTCATTGTTGATCTGGACAACCATGAGTGCACATGCAGAGGATGGCAGCTCACTGGACTCCCCTATGTGCATGCCATAGCTTTCATTGGCACAAGAAGGGTCCTATTGGAGGATTTTGTGCACCCTTACTACTCTGTGCAGAAGTTCATAGCAGCATATGCATCTGCTGTGCCTCCAATGCCAGACAAGGAAGAATGGGAGAAGGTGGACCTTGGCTTCAAGCTACTTCCTCCTTTATGCTATAGAGCAGCAGGTAGGCCAAGAAAGAGAAGGATAGTTGGCTCTGAAGAAGGTGGGACAAGCAGTAGAGGCAAGAGAAGGTGTAAAAGGTGTGGTAGATTTGGTCACCTATAGAAAACCTACAATGAAATTGTCCATGATCCTGATGCCCCACCACCTGCACCACCAAAGAGGAGGAGGACTTACAAGCCAAAAGTGGTGGAGATCATAGAAACCACGGAAGATCCATCCAAGAAGAGGAAGAGGACTTCCAAGCCAAAAGTGATCAGGGTTATAGAAAACCCAGAAGATCCTTGTACTAAGAAGAAGAGGAAGGCCTCCACCAAGGGGAAACAACCCAACAAGAAAAAGAAGGCAACTCCTACAGCTGCAGAGCCCACACCTGCTAAACAGTATGTGATCCATCTATTACCTTCAGTTTTTATGTTAGTTTAGGGACTACATTTTAACATGTGTATAACTGTGCAGGGTTTCAAACTCCCTGGTGACAAGGAAGCAGGCCAGCCAAGGAGCAGTGACAAGGAGCCAAAGTACATCATCAGCAAGTCCCAGCGCTAGCACTAGGAGCAAGAAGAGGTTGATGGAAGTCTAGGAGTGTGCAAGCAACATGGCTTCCTCTTTATGATGGATTTATATGATTTTGTGAACTTCTCTGTCAGTTTAAGGATGCTATGGCCATATAAACTTGGTCTGGGTTATGTATGATGCCTGGTATTGAATTCTGGCAAATGAACTATGTAATGTGTAAACTGGTATTGTATTGTGGCCATATGAGGCTCCACTTGGACTGGTATTGTATTATGACACTTGGTATTGTATTATGGCCATCTGAGGCTCAGTTTCCTTGTATTAAACTTGGGATTGCAAGATAACTGTCTTCCATTCATTTTTCAAGCCATTACAAAGTTAATCTTGCTTCTGCATTAAGATGCACAAGACAACTGCACAAGACAACAAAGAGCACAACTCCTACAAACACACTAGCCACATTCAACCACCTATCCACTCTCTGCTGCCCAGCTATTCTACTGACATGGAGACTCTGAGCTTCAACAGAATTGCCCAGGGCCAACAGAGACTTCTCCAATGCCTGGACTCCGGCCGTCAATGATGCAGCATCGACGCCATCACTCACCGGCTTCCACATGAAGAAAGCGCACTTGCTGTTGCCCTGTTCAAGCAGAGATTTTGGATGAACCCTAGATCTAGAGTTGGTGTTGACGAAAATGAACAACATGAAGTACAAAAAACTCACCCAGTCCCGATTCTTGCAAGTGTAGAACTGCTTATCTGGGTTGTTTGTGGTTCTGGAGGTCCGCTCCACAATGGTGGCCGTCCGGCAGAAAGGGCACAGCGGCTGCCCACCCGTCGGCGGCTGCCCACTCGGTCCGCGCGAACCTATCGAGGAGGAAGCGCCGGAGCCCGTCGCCATCTTCAGGCCTCTGCTTGCCCCCCCGGCCCGCTTGACAATCCCACGCCCGCCAAGCCTGCGCCACCGCCGCCGTCAACCAAATCGCCACCGCCGCCGACTTGGAGAAGGGGATGGGGAAGAGAGGGAAGGCGGGAGGGCGTCGATACCCTAACTGCCGGGTCGGGCCGGTTAAATGTGGTCGAACCAGACTGGGTTGCCGTTTTGGCTCGAGGGCACCACATGTCCAAAATGAATATTTCTCTCTCCTCTCTTGGCTCAAACCGGGGCGCGGTGTCTTCTGGCAACTCAAAGTGGAAACACAGTGGCCAGCAGCAAATTGGCGCATTTGCGGTGTCCACCAGCCGTCGGTGCTCATTTGGCATGTCCTGTGGCCAATTGTCCCATTAATTTAAGTGTGTTTAAATGCCTTTTTCCTTAATTGATAATTACTAAATTGATTAGATAAATCCTTAAGGGCCCGTTTGGATCCTCGGAACTGAATCCATTCTAAGAATTACAATTTAGACATAGATTAATTAAGCTAATATAGTTATATATGGAATATATTTGTATATTTATTGTTAGGCATACAAGGGATATACTTATATGTTGTATTTCTATTATAGGGAAGTGAGTTAGAGTGTGTGCTATAAGTTGAAGAGTAGAATTATAGCATATTGATCTATAGAATCTATTTTCATCTTCTACCCTATGAATTTGAGATATGCTTATTTGTGAGCTTGAAAAAATTATGGAATGTCAAATTCCAAGCTCAATAGCCTAATCTATTAAATAGATTTCAAATCCTCCAAAATAAAGGGATCCAAACGGCCCCTAAATGACTTTGTGTGTTTTATACTTTGATTGTGGACCTTGGAACACACAAACCCCTGATGCTCTTAGGCAATGTAATTAGTTGCTTGATATGCTTTGAATCAACTAGTTCTTATAATTATTAAAATGGTTTATTTAAATATTTAGTTTAATTTTATGAGTCCTTATCGTGATCATGAGTTAAATGTTAATCTCTTGATAGTTCATGTTAGTGTAATTACTTTCATAATAGATAACTAATTAACTTGTTAAGTTAATAAATAAAATAGTTACCCAAATGATTGGTTAGTAGATGCATGTGATTAGGTCATGTGATGATCCTTGCTTGTCTTCATGATTGAACTTTGTGTAATGTTAGTTAAGTACCTTGTCTTGCTTGACTAGTATAACGTGATAGGTGTTGCTTTATTGTAAACCACATAAATGACTTGATAACCAAATAATTCAAATGCTTTGTGAGCCGCTCCGCGATGGAGTGCGGAACACCGACGGGCCTCGGCTCCGTCGTTCAGTGACGACACGGCATCTGCCCGCTCTGTGTCCACCGGTCGTTCGTCGTTAGTGCCTCTGTGCTGCGACCCACCGCCGCCGCCTCTGAAGGTACCCGATGGGGACGTCGTGGCTGCCATGCCCTCGATGCCCGATCGTCCGCCGGCGGAGGGCCGTCTCACGGAGATTGTCATCATCCCTCGCTCCGCGGAGCTGGAGGTAGCCGAGGAGGAGCTCTCCCACATGTTGGTCGCGGTCGTGGGGGGCACGCGGCCCGTGGTCTGTCAGCTTCTCTGCGGCCACTTCGGCTTCGCAGAGGAAGCCTTCTCAGTCCATCGACACGCTCCTGAGGATTTCATTGTGTGGTTCGGCAGTCGCTCGGATCGGGACCTAGTACTGAACAACGCACCTCCGCACCCTCCCTTCACCTTGATCTGGCGGCCATGGAGACGCACGTCCATGGCATCGGTGGGGGCTTTCACGTTCAGGGTGCTAGCTGGGATGCGGAACGTTCCTGTCCATGCTAGGAGCGTCTCCATCGCTGAGCGCATCCTGGGGACGTCGTGCGCTGGCATCGAGATCGCCCCGCCGGAGGCCGTGCCCGAAGATGATGACCGCGAGTTCTTCGTCGCTGCATGGCGCATCCACCTACGCCTCGTTCCGGATGAGAAGATCATGGCCATTCCGGAGCCGTCGTTCCTGGGTGTGCATGAGGACATGACGGAGCTCCCTGCTCTCCGTTACCTTGTCCGGTGCCGGGTCATCGAGTACCAAGACTGGTCAGTTCCCCGGCACTCATCTGATGACGACGACGGCCATGGAGGGGCCAACGACGACGATGATGATAGTGGCGACAGCAACCATAACCGCTACCACCCTGGCCTCGACGTACGTTGGTACTCGTCGGTCGTCGTGGGGCACGAAGTCGGCGCGCCTCGCCGGCGCTGGGGATGGCACGCCTTCACTGGGCAACGGTCGGGGGCCCACCTTCAGATCGCGCCGGACCGTTCTCGTCGGAGCGTTCACGTGCCCGGTCATCAGGTCACGTGATGTCGGTCGCCAGGAGGCGTTGCTGCGCGTTGGGTCTCGTGTGGTCGCTGGACCCGAGATCCCGGCAAAAAGCGGTCAGGCGGAAAGTTGCGAGGCTGCTACATCGCTCGACCGAGACAGATTGGGGGAAGTCTCTGAACCCCGTGCTGGGTGAGGCGGCCGTGCATCCTTCCCAGTCTGTAAAGGAGGACCACCTGTCGTGCGTGCTGTACGAGCTGGTGTGGGCTGCCCCACCATCGCAGGAACCACTGATCGCGGCCCAGCTTGCCGATACGGGGGAACAGGCCCATGGCGCCCCTACAGACCCCAGGATCCACTATGGGCCTAGCGAGCAGGCCCCTCCCAGCGCCACTTCTGCGCCTGTTGCCGGAACGCCTACACCATCCGCGCCTGTTGCCGGAGCGCCTACAGCAACATCGGTAGCAGGCTTCATCGACTCCCTCAAGCTGCCGTTGCAGGAGCCGCTGATCAAAACTCCACCCCGCACCCGGGTCTCCAGGATTGTTGACGACGACTAGGTGCCGCGCCGCAGCGACCGTCTAGTGGCCAAGTCGGCCTTCCGCGACCCCCAGCCGGAGAAACAGGCAAGGCGCGTCATGCTGAACAAGTGGAGGGGAAGACCTGAGGACATGGCGAGCAACACGCCGGACGCCACGATCGCCACCAAGTTCCACGAAGCTTTTACAGAGCCACTGTCGTCCTCCAAGAGGGAGGCGATGCGAGTGCTCTTCCCCATGCGCGGTGACCGCTAGCTAGGCGCGGACCGTGACGAGGCTGGAATGAGCGCCTGCTGCCGCCGTCGCAACACGGTTTTCCATGAGTGCCAATCACCTAGTCGTCTGGAACGCACGAGGCTTGAATAGCCGTGCGCGTCGCAGTGTAGTCAGAGATATTGTCGCCCAACGGCGTGCCTCGATCGTATGCCTACAAGAGTCTAAGGTCGCTAATTTCTCTGTAGCCATGAACAATGAAATAGCAGGAAACGATTTCGACTACTTCTGCCTCCCTGCGGTCGGCGTGGCTGGGGGCGCTGTTGTCTCCTGGCGCCGTGACCTGTGGTGCGCAACCTCGCCGTGCGCACGTCGTTTCTCGGTCACCACAAAACTCACGCCGCTGAATGGTCACGGGGAGCCATGGTGGCTCACCAACGTCTATGGACCTACAGCGAGAGCGGACAAGGCTGACTTTCTTCAGGAGCTGCGCGACGTCCGAGCCAGTTGCCCCGGTCCCTGGCCCCTTTGTGGTGACTTCAACTTAATCTACAAAGCCAGCGATAAGAACAATGGCAGGCTACACCATGGACTGATGCGCAGGTTCCGCAACGTCATCGATGACCTGCAACTGGAGGAGATCCATCTCTCCGGCCGCCTCTTCACTTGGTCCAACGGTAGGAACCAACCAACTCTGGAACGTCTCGACAGGGCTTTCGCCACGGTGCAATGGATCGAGCAGTATCCCAGCCATCAGCTTCGCTGCCTTTCATCGGATTGTTCCGATCATGCTCCACTGTTGCTAGTTCTCAACTCCGAACCCTGGGCGAAGCCGAGATTTCGTTTTGACCAATACTGGACAAAGATTGATGGATTTCTGGATGTAGTAAGTGTCGCGTGGGGTGCCCAGATGGCCGACGTCGACGCTTGCCGATGCCTAGACCAGAAACTGCGTGCCCTGGCAAAGGCGCTAAGGAGCTAGCGTGCCACCTGTGTTGGCAACATCAGGTTGCAACTCGCTACGGCACGAGCGGTAATCTACGAGCTCGACGTCGCGCAAGAGTCCAGGCATCTGTCGTAGGGTGAGCTTGAACTGCGCGAGGACTAGGTACCTGAAGGAAGGTGATGCATGCACCAAGTATTTCCACCTACAGGCCTGCCACCGACGGCGGAAAAATTACCTGTTTGCCATAAACCACAATGGGCAGACCTTTAGCGAGGAGGAAGCGAAGGCGGGCATCGTGTACTCCTACTACAACGAGCTGCTCAGCAAGGCCTTCCATAGGCAACACCGCATCGACTTGGCCCAACTGGACCTGCCGCGGCTGGACCTCAGTGATCTGGTGACCCTGTTCACGGCGGAGGAGGTGGCGAGGATCGTCCGGGACACCCCGGCTGACAGGGCTCCAGGCCCGGACGGATTCAATGGTGCCTTTTACAAGGCGGCTTGGGAGATCGTCGGCCCCGATGTGGTACGGGTTTTCCACGCGCTCTGGGAGCTGGACTTCAGAAGCTTCTACCACCTAAACGAGGCGACCATGGTACTTCTCCACAAAACTCAGGCGCCGGACGGCCTCAAGGACTACAGGCCGATCAACCTCATCCACTCCATCGGCAAATTGTTCGCCAAGGGCCTCGCACTTCGTCTGGCCCCAAGAATACCGGAGATCGTTAAGATCAATCAGTCTGCCTTCATCCGGGGTCGGCGAATTCATGAGAATTTCCGTGCTGTACAGCTGACCTGCCGATGGCTGCATGCTCGGCGCTGCCCCACGATGCTTCTCAAGGTTGATCTCGCAAAGGCATTCGATACGGTGGCATGGCCGTTCTTGCTTGAGGTACTCGAGCACATAGGCTTCCCCCAGCGGTGGCGTGACTGGATCTCAGCCAAGCTGGGAACAGCGAGCACTAAGGTGCTTGTCAACGGACGCCCGGGAC